AAAGCAAGAGAATATAGAGTCAAAAATACAACTGTACCCCTAAACCATTTGGTCTTCAACAAAGTAGAAAAAAAAAAAAAACAAGCATAGATAAAAGATACTCTATTCAATAAATTAGGCTAGAATAACTGGCAGAACAATGAAATTGGACCCTTTCCTTAGACCATATACAAAAATTAACTTGAAATTGATTGAAACCTTAACTGTACAAACTAAAACTATAGAAACACTAGAAAAAAATTTAGAAAATACCATTCTGGACATAGGTCCTGGCAAAGATTTTATGATGAAGACACCAAAAGCAATTTCAACAACAACAAAACTTGACAAATGGGCCTAATTAAATTAAAGAGCTTCTGCACAACAGAAGAAAAGACTATCAACAGAGTAAATAGACAGTCTACAGAATATGAGAAAAATTTTGCATCTGACGAAGATCTAATAATAAAAATCTATAAGGAACTTAAATAAATTAACAAGCAAAAACAACTTCATTTAAAATTGGGTAATTTACATGAACAGACAGTTCAAAAGAACACATACATGTGGCTAACAAACATACAAAAAAATGCTGAACATCACTAATCATTAGAAAAATGCAAATCAAAACCACAATGAGATACCATCTCATACTAGTCATGATGGCAGTTATTAAAAAGTTAAAAAAAAACCAGACACTACTGTGATTGCAGAGAAAAGAGAACACTTATACACTGTTGTTAGGAGTGTAAGTTAGTTCAACTATTGTGGAAAGCAGTATGGTGATTCTTGAGAGAGCTAAAAGCACGACTACCATTTGAGCTAGCAATCCCATTTCTGGGTATACACCCAGAGGAATATACATCATTCTAGCATAAGGACACATGCACATGTATGTTCACTTCAGCACTCTCCACAATAACAAAGATATAGAATCAACCTAAATGCCCATCAACAGTAGACTGGATAAAAACAAAAAATGTGGTATACATGCACAATGGAATACTATGCAGCCATAAAAAAGGATGAGGTTATATCCTTTGCAGCAACATTGACAGAGCTAGAGAACTTTACCCTAAATGAACGCAGGAACAGAAAACCAAATACTACATGTTCTCACTTCTAAGTGAGAGTTAAACATTGTGTATCTATGGACACAAAAATGGGAACAACAGTCACTGAGGCCTACTTGAGGGTGGAGGGTGAGAGGGGGGTGATGATTGAGAAATCATCTCTAGAGTACAAGGCTTATCACCTGGATGGCATAATTATAATCTGTACACCATACCCTAGTGACATACAAATTACCTACATAACAAACCTTCACATGCACCCTGAACCTAAATAGAAGTTAAATAAAAAGTAAATAAATTAAATTAAGAATGAAATAGTTTCCTGTGAATGAGCTTACACTTCAACTTCACTCTCCCTCCATCTAGCTCTAATTATTGCCTGCTCCTAAACAATTTCCACCTGTTTGCATAATATCTTCAAAATAAAATAACTTATTTATTTTTCTATTGTGCCTGAATATTACACTCGGAATATGAAAAGGAAATTTCCCCTGCAAAACCCACAAAAACCTCCAGTACTAGAACTCTCATTTCGCAACAATTCCATTAGACATAGGTATGAATTGCTATTTACTATTCAGGAGCCTAGATTCTAATCAAAACAAATGCTTTAGACAAACATCTTCATGCTTGCGATTATTTTTTTTTTCAGTGCCTGCAATTGTTTTTTGTTTTTTGTTTTCAGTCTCTTAGAGATTAACAAGGGCATACACTTGAGAGCAAAGGAAATAAGTTAAAGTTAGTGTGACCAGGAAAGGAGCTCTTGGAAGGGGACTATTTAATTAGGAAGTAAAAGCTCAAATTATGTTTTTACTTATGTATGTGTATTTTGACAATTATGAAAAATTTGCAACTTCTACTTCATAAATTCTTCTTGAAAATTTCAATTACTGTATTACAAGTATTCTCTTTACTCATGCAGTGTGATGGTATAACCACAGATTTAACTAAAAACAATTGTGAAGGAAAGGAATAGTATTTTACCACCAAAACAAATACATTATTCAAATAAATGCATCATCTAAGTGAATAGGTTGCAATGCAATGAAATGAGAAAATCCTGTAATATATGTCATCATAGTATTATAGATGTGAATTAGAAGTTCTTCACCCCTTTCTATACTGGTCCTTTCTGCACTGAAGAAACTGTTGCAATATATTCAGCTGTGTTCTCTTGTGGATGCTAAGGGATAGGTTTTCATTGCAATATTATAGTTATGTAGAATATGTCCTGAGGTTGGTGACATTCAAAACCTCACATTTAATTTGAGTAAATTCCAGCAGGAATTCTCATTTGTTCCCAATATTCTTATGAAACTCCGTTATTTGTTCTGATCTTGAATGAGTGACTTATCCTAAGCTCTGCCTATCAGGTTAGAGGGGAAAAAGTCTAGGTATCCTATTTAATTTGAAATTTTGAATGTAACCCAAATAAACTGCCATACGGGAAACTTTACGCTTTAGGTGGAATGTACATAGATCTTACATTTGGACTGGTCACATCTATTATTTTGTGCCATAAAACCAGGCTCGGTTTGTGTTGTGATTTATTGTTTCCTCACTAACCAAAGACATACCTGAAAACACCAACCATCTTAATTCTCCTCAAACTGGACATTGCCATTCCTCAGTATTGCACTTCATTAATGGCACGTTATTTTCTATAGACCCACGACAAAAATATGACTGCCTGGGAGATAAACAGGTAGTTCTCCCCCTTGAATGCCTGTGGCTCTGGATCAGCTCACTGGGAAACTCTTTATTTCATTTTGGCTCAGGTGATGACTACTGAATATGCAAAATTTTCTTCCTTAGAAACAACCCAAACTTTGCATCACACTGCAACAGGTGTAGGTATTTTTAATATAATTGTATAAAAATATGTATTTTTTAAATTAGATATAAATCTGTTATAGTGAAATAACTCCAATTTACTGTACGTGAATCCGGTCAGAAAGGGACAATTGACCCAATGGCTGAAGACCACCATGCAACAAATTCTGAAATTATGGGCAGCTATTGTAGCCAGCCACCATTCTCTATCATTTATCTTATCTCTACTAAACATAGATACATAGACATACAGATGGATATATAGATAGACAGATAGTAGGTATAACATAACTTGTAATAGATTTATCTTTTTATATTTATATGAAGTCTGTCCTTACTTAAAAGGGCATCCTTAACCTATACTTCAAAGGTTGTCAGTACTAGCTCAGTTTTTGAAGAACAACAGAAATCTAAAAATGAGTTAGAATTTTGAATAAATGTTCATAGCCTGACAATCTTATTTCTGCTGAGGGGGAGAAAATTTATACTCCATGGTGAAAAGTATTGTAAAAACTCTTCAGTATCTACTCTAATCCTTCAGTTGATCCAACCAAGAAGAGAAATGAGTTGTTCTCATGATGAGTATGGGAGAATAAATAGAACATGCTCAACTCAGCCTATCTGTGTACTCTCATTCAGACTGCATTGACCCTCTGGTATTTTATATATACTCACTGCTATTAGGAAATCTGTATTTTCATTCTGTTTCAAATTGCAAGGGGAAATAAAATTATGTTTTTTATTGATTTCGTGAAATTCAAACACGCGAATCCCAATTGAAATGACTCAGATTGCATATATTCTTCAACATGCAGGAATTAAAAAATTTTAAACAGAAGCAGCAATAGCTAAATCAAGACTTTGAAATTAGGAAATTTATTGATGCTGAAAATGCTAATCATTAGATTTTGCCCCAGTTATTGCACACAAAATTTTAATTGTCAAAATAGTTACCAGTAGACAAAAGTGGATTATTTAATAAACCTAAAATATAACATCATAGGTTGTAAAATGTTGCACTTCTAACCATGTGGTGTTTTAAAGAAAGGATTGATGATCAAAACAGAAATATACTTAAAAATTTTTTATGACTTCAGTTTTTTTTTATTATGGAAATAGTGGTAGCATAAATATCAAATTCTAGAACCAGGGCTTGTGGAATTGCTATGTAATTATATAGCTCTTTGACTTTTGAATGTCAGGTTTTGGTACATTTCTCCATTTATGAAATGACAATGATAATTTATTTTTGCATTTAATAAATAATCTTACTTCGTATTTATGAATATCAAACACACTAATTGTATACAACTCTAATAATAATACATAGAACATAATATTTGCTCAAAAAATTTCAACAATTATTAACATTCACTGAAGATTTATGGGAAACTTATAAGTAATATTGGCTATTCTTTCAAATGAATGAAAACAAATATAGCTTATGAAGTCAGTTTCTCCTTTTCTATGTCAGCAGTAGATAGGTTTTTTATAGTATCCACTCTTTAACTCAATACTGAATAAAAATGGCCACAAACAGCTCAACGCATATTGAATTGAAGGCATCTGACACCAATCTATTTTAATGCAATTATTTAAATAGTGATAATTTAAACTCATTTTTATATCCTGAATTTATTCAAATTTCTTTGATAAAGCAACCTGAAAGTTTTGTCATTTTTGTAACATTTTAGTTAGTTGTCATATTTTAATTTGAGAATGTTATCTTACTATCAATTTCCCAGAAAAGGTAGGAACCATCTAATTATACTCTATGTTGTTCAAAAGAAACCATATCCACTTATTTAGAGACAGGAATATATGACACCTGGACTTAAAGCTTCTGCCTCATTTCTTTTTCTACTACATTATCATTAAAGGATTGCCAAAATTGAAGTTCTCATATCCGAATTTGGGAGATTTTATCATTGAAGTATTTTACACAAAAAAAATTAGAGGTTATATATGAACATATACTTTGTGTTTTTCTCTGCAATTAAGGACACAAGCTTTAAATTTCAAGTTCACTGTGAAGGTAGCTTTTTGTTTCCTAACCATCCTTCATTTCCTAATCCATAATTGAGTGAAACCTGGTAAACATTTCTTTTTTTCTAGGTGACATGATGTTGAATTTTGTCAATAGAGGACTCTGCAGGGGCACTGTGGATAGAAGGGTCTACTCTTCTTCACTCCAGGACACGTCTCTGGACATGCTCTTCTAGTCCCTGACAACCAACAGTATATCACAGCCAGCAGTGAAAGACTGCCTAAAATATAATCTACTTCTCAGTAGGCAATTTCTCCCAGTACCTTTGAAGAAAGCTTTTAAGATATTTTCTTTATACAGCATCTAGGGAAACTTCATACTCTGGCGGGCCATAGTTGAGAACCTTCGGCATCTCAGCCCTTGGCAGGTAGGGGATTCTTCCAGATCTGTTCCTTCTTTTAATGGTCTGCCTCAGCCTCAGAGGTTGTGGCTGCTTATTCCATATGCTATTCCTGAATCCTTTAGAGTTGTCTCTTTCCCGTAAAAGCTAATCTTCCATGAGAGTTTATAATTCCTTATATTAAACTTCCTGTGTTCAAATTATTCTGTGGTTTCTGGCTCTTGATGGAATGTTGACTAATAACAATTGTCTTATGAAGAAGTAGAGTGGTTCCTTGAGAAAGATCTGAAAACATGATATTTGGACATTGGTTTACCCATGCCCTTGGGCTTGAGCGTATTGGTGAGACCCTTGCCAAAAGGAAACAGAGGGCTAAGTAATCTATGGCACATAGTGACATATCAATTAATCTAGACATCACCTGTGCGTGATTGTGATCAAGTGCTGACTGAATCAAGTCTTATGGGAACGCATTGGTTACCACAATTTTATGTACATAAAGTGAATATAAAGACTATGCTGTGACCAGAATTTCCTGAATGGCCTGGAATGCTTACAGCAATAAGTGATAAGCTCAGAAATATAGATTTCAACTTATCTAATCCAGAGTGATTTCCTAACAGTCCTGAATTACTATCTTATTTATTAGGGTCACAAGGCTGATACTGTCAAAAACCAAATGCAAAATTTAATTACAGCAATCATGAATAGCAAACTCCATGGTGTCACCATCCCTGAGTGTTAAGTTTTAAACATTGATTATGAATGATTGTTCAGTTGTGGAAATAAGGATTTCCTTGGCTAGTCTCATTTCCTTCATGTTTTGTTTCTATATATTTACAAGTACTCAATTTCCTTTTTTTTTCTTCTCTGTTCTTACTCCTTTACAATAGAATGCTGATGGCTATTAAAATGAAAATTCATTGGTATTTATTGTACAAGGTCAAGATGGATTGTAATTGAGGAGGAGTGAACATTACTCAGAAATGGAGCCAGTACTTAAGAGCTTTACTTGTTCCTTTACATGAGGGTGAGCATGTTGTTTATGTTAGGATCATCGTGTTGTGTTACACAGGGGCATTTTTTGTTTGTTTCTTACTGCTGTTTGGAGGCTTGAGAATGGAAAGAAAATGTGAGTGAGGGATAATATATTTGGATTGGTTTGCTCAACATCCATTCAAACCTGCTTATTGTGTACTTTCTTATATTGCAGAGGGTAAAAAGCTAAAAAACAAAAAGCAACCCCCTACATAGTTTTCCAGGTTCTCTTGACATATCTAGATGTGATTTTGGTTTATGTCATTCATTTCACTTCTGGGAAATAGTGGCTGCTTCAGAGAAAAGCAGAGGTGGCTAGACTCAGGATCTGGCCAGCAGTGCAGTAACTTTCATATTCAGCAGGCCATTTCCTGATTGCAGCAGAAGCACTGGCTGTCTCAGTGTCCTGAATGTGTACTATGAGTTTTGGAAGTCATTAATGGAAGAAGGTCAGCCTAAGGTCTGTTGTTACTCATTCTAAATAATTTTAAAGGTCATCAGTAAATGTATTAGTCTGTTTTCACACTGCTGATAAAGGCATACCTAAAACTGGGTAATTTATATATTTTAAAAAGGGGGGGTTTACTGGACTCACAGTTCTATGTGGCTGGGGAGGCCTCACAATCATGATGGAAGGCAAAAGGCTCATCTTACATGGTGGCAGGCAAGAGAGAATGAAAGCCAAGTGAAAGGAGAAACCCCTTATAAAAATAGCAGATCTCATGAGACTTATTCATTATCAGGAGAACAGTGCAGGGAAAACCTCCTTCACGATTCAGTTATTTCCCATCAAATCCCTCCCACAACATGTGGGAATTATGGGAGCTATAATTCAACATAAGAGTTGGGTGAGGGACACAGCCAAACTGTATCAATATCCTATTATAAATCCACAGCAACATAAATAACCCTGAGTCAGGGAAGAAACTATTCCTGTAAATGATTTGAGAACAATAGACAGGACTTAGGAATATATGTGCCACAACAGTTAAGTCTTCTTTTATGTTCTAGGCTATGCTTGGTGTATTCTTGGCAGTTTATGTTTTCTCAGCATGTCTTTCCCCCAGCAATCCTCCAAGTCATGTCGGAGCTAATTCCTCCTTTATCTGGATTGCTCTAGCATTGGGTCTATAGGCCTTATGAAATACTTCGGGCACATTATGTCTATGCCATATTACTTTGGAAGCTCTTGGTTCTACAGAATCATTCTTTTTATCATTAAACCCTGCAATTCACCCATCAAGATGTTTGCTTTCACAATTCTCATATATGATGTAGACTGCAAGGTGCTGTCTGAAGTCAGTAATTTATAAGAAAGTATAGAGAATATAAATGTTCAGTTTGATACATTTTTAACAATTGTATACACCTATGTAAACACCATTAAAAGATGAAACTTTTCTATCATAGGGAAGAATGCTTCCCTGAGCCCTTTCTCTTCATACCACCACACTACCACTGCCTCTGTGGTCACTATTTTGAGTTTATCCATTTTATATATCCTAAGCTTAACATAAATACAGTCATACGATGTGATATATTCTTTTGTCTCTGGCTTCTTCTGCTCAATATGATATTTTAGAGATTTATTCATGTGGTGGCATATGTCAATTGTGTGTTTGTTTTTTGTTAAATAATATTCAATTTATCAACATGCCACAATTTGTTTATTTTATTCTGCTGATGAAGTTTGGGTATTACAGTTTTGGGATGTTACAAATAAAGATACTATAAATAGCTTTGTGAAAATTTTTCTAGATTAAACGTCTCTAGAAGACAGTTTAAAATGTCCTCTGGGGCGGGGAGCGGTGGCTCACGCCTATAATCCCAGCACTTTGGGAGGCCGAGGCGGGTGAATCATGAGGTCAAGAGATTGAGACCATCCTGGTCAACATGGTGAAACCCCGTCTCTACTAAAAATACAAAAATTGGCTGGGCGTGGTGGCGTGTGCCTGTAATCCCCGCTACTCAGGAGGCTGAGGCAGGAGAATCGCCTGAACCCAGGCGGCAGAGGTTGCGGTGAGCCGAGATCGCGCCATTGCACTCCAGCCTGGGTGACAACAGTGAAACTCCGTCTCAAATAAATAAATAAAATGTCCTCTGAAATACTTTAGGTTTCATCTAGGGCTTGGTAAAGGACAGCTACAGGTTGGTCAAGGCATTAGGGAGAGAGCTTGCCTGAGGCACCAAAAGCTATGAGTACAGCAGATGATCAGGGGAATTCCTCATTGTGATACTGGTGTCCTGGCTGTAAATCACAGAGATGTCCAGAGTCTTTTCCATGCTCATGCCCCAAGCTCTCCTAGAAGGGAAGCTGCAATGCTACCTTCATTGTGTTTTACTAAATTTCAAAGAGGAAAATGAGTGGAAATAAAATAGAACGTATTTCATTTTTTCCGCCTGGTAGTCATCACTTGCACTCAGTGAAGACACACTGAGATGCCTTGTAGGAAATTACTGAGATTTCCTACCTTGCACTAAGTTTCAATAGCTGCAACTTTGCAACAGAACAGCAATACGGTTGAAAACAAGTTCTTCCTCTCTTTTTAAGAACAGCTTTATTGAGGTATAACCAATATGCAAAAACTGTGCATATTTAATATATAAATTTTATGAGTTTGGCCATAGGCATACACTCATGATACCATCACCACAATCAAGGTAGTAGACATATTCATCATGTCTAAAAGACTCCTTGTTATATCCTTAGTTGTCATTGTTGCTCTTTGTTTTGTTGGTTTGCTTTTGTGGTAAGAACACTTTACAAGAGATCTATTTACTCAGCAAATTTTCAAATGCATCATGCAGAATTGTTGATTTTAGGCACTGTGCTGTACAGAAGATCCCTGTCATCTTGTATAAACTGAAACTTTGTATCAGTTGAAAAACTCTCATCTCCCTCTTCTCTCAGCTCATTTTAAACACAATTCTAGTCTCTTCTTCTATGTGTTTGACTATTTTAGATACTTTATATAAGTGGAATCATGCAGCATTTGTCCTTCTGTGACTGGTTTTTTTTTTTTCACTTAGTATAATGTCCTTCAAGTTCAATAAAACTTTAAAAACAACAACAGAAAAACAATTTCTCTCATCTGTTCTGGGCCTTCCCGAGGCTTTAGTTAATACCACTCAGTTAAAGGCCATCATTCCTAAGAAAGCTTTCCCTCATTTCTCCTGTCCCACTCCCAGCATTTTACTGCAGCTTCTTTGCTGTGTTTTAAGGTGGCATTTCCTTGTGTAATTTTGTATCCTTCTGTCCTATTTCTTAAGCCTTCAACAGGCCACAGCCTTCCACTTGAAAAGGCTGTGCAACCCTAGGAAGGGTCTCTCAGCTTCCCTTCTCACACTCTGACTGACCTCTGCATGCTACTGCCACCTATCAAGCAGGCTCATCAAAAAATCTGCAAGGGAATGCAAACTTTGTGGCTGGACTCCGTAAGTTTCAAAGCCATTAATAACAGCCTATATAATGAAGTGCTGTTAAAGAGATCTTAGTGGTATGGCTGGCTTCTTTACTGTTATTTACACTAGGTTTTCTTCTCCTTCCACCACTGGACCAGAAATGAATGCAACAAAAGAAAGAACACTAAAGGTGTTCTCTCTCCTAGTAAGCATATGTCAGTTTCTGGACTTGTTTCATTTAGTTAACTTCTTATTATTTTCGTTATATCTTCAGTTCCATTATAGGATAAAAATTTTAAAAAATATAAATTTTGTCTCATTCATCTTATTGGTATGAGTCATATGGTGAAATTATTAATAATTTCTTGTGACTTTCTACATTCCCACCAGAAGCAGGTGTCTCTTTATATGTCATGTTAGCCTTTCTATAGTAATTCATTGTAAATAACAGACTAGACTAATTGCTTTGTATAATTACTACCACATGGCAGATATTCAATAAAATTATTTTGAATGTCAAATGAATTCATCAGATCAACCCTACATTGTCATACATTTCTTTTTTTAAACAATTGTCATCATTTCTCTATTAATTCTTGTTGTTCTGAATAATTATCTTTAAAACACACTTCTGAGTCAGTTTTTAAGTCACTTTATATTTCAGTACAGTTAATATCAATGGTAAAAAGAACAGCATCCCTCTATCACTTCGGGTATTCTGAATAAAAGTAATTTATTTTATTCTGCAAACTCAATTTTTTTCCACAATTGTACTTCAGCCAGGCCTTCCGATTGACATTTATGAGGACTATTCCCTCCTCAACCTGTTCCCTGTTGTCATACAAAAACAAGGTAAGTATCAGCAATTTTCTTTTTCTCATCTCTCTCTTTCATTAAGATGTGTTTAAGACTAATAGTACTAGTTAAATGTTAAAGTACTATATTAACCTAGGAAAAAGCTTTAGTGCCCCATTCTCAGGTCAGACCTAAGCTTCTAAATATAGTTGGTGTGTCCATATCTACAAGTTCTGTATCTGCATTTTCAACCAACCATGAATTAAAAATATTTAAAAAACAATATAAATAATAATACAGTTAAAATAATATGAATTTTAAAACAATATAATATAACTATGGTTTACATATCACTGATACTGTATGAGATATTGTAAGAAATCTAGAGATAGTTTAAAGTACAATCGAGGATGTGCATAGGTTATATGTCAATAATCCTACATTTGTATAAGAGACTTAAGCATTGAGAATTTTGGTATCCTCAGGGGTCCTGGAATGAATTCCTTTTGGATACTGAAGGACAACTGTATGTTAGGTTTCTGTTCCTGCTGAAAAGCTTTATTATCATTGAATCTCTCAAATGAGATTTCTTATTACCAAATATCACTAAAATGTTATTAATATAATAAATAGTTCATTATCACCGAATAACATTAAGTGTGCTTATATAAATAAAGCTAGAAATTAATGGCATAAGTTTGCCAGAGGCTTTTGCTTTACTTATATAAACTAAGTAATTCTCACAAACTTATGAAACATGCTATTATTATTCCAATTTTACAAATGAAGAACCTCAGGCAAAGGAACTTAATAGATTTGACCAAGGTTTCAGAGTAAGTTACAATTAGGATTAAACCAAGGCACTCTGATTTCAAAGTCCATAATCATAAATTCTATACTTATTTGCTTTATTTATTAACAAGATTACCTTCTACAATCGAAAGTGAAATTACAGTTACCCCATTGTCAAACATTATGACATTACCTCAGTTCTCATTCAATATCATTTCTTTACTTCATTCAACTAGAGACAACAGTTTCCCTTATGTTCCTCCTGTATCTTATTCTCAACATGAGCAAAATCGAGCTCACTATATCTTCTTTTATTTCAGAGTTCGTAAACATTTTCCATAAAGCGCTAGAGAGTAAGATCTGTGGGCCATGTGGTCCTTGTCACCACTGCTCAATTCGGCTGTTACAGTGAGGAAGCAGCTGTAGAAGTTATGTGAATGAATCTGTGTTCCAGTAATACTTTATTTAGAAAAACAGACTGGAGCTGTATTTGGCCACAAATTCAGTGGGTTTGCCTACCCTAGCATTACTCCATACTCAATTGAAAAATGTGCATTAGAGTGGTCTTTAGGACTCTACTCTCCCAGGGTTGTTATTTCCCTTTACTGTCTCTCGTTGATAATGTATCTATAAGCTATCTATAGTAGTTACTAATCGCTGAATGAATAGTATAACCCCTTTACATATCTGTTGTAGCACAATCATACAGAGTGTCACTTGTGACACTAACCACACGTGGAATATTTAGGACTTGAAGTATTACTGAAATTCATGTTTGGATATGCTATGCTGCCTCCCTGACTTTATTCTTTATTACTTATAATTCCATACTTAATTTTAAATTAATGTTTTAAAATTATTTTTAAAAGGAAAGTGATTCTTGTACTTATTTATGTGAGAACCAGGCATGTGAAGTAAAGCTGAACATTATAGAAAATCAAATAATACTAATAATAACTAGTATTGATTGAGTGCTTACTATAACCTCACTAAATATTTTCCTGTGTTACTGCAGTTAATAATCAGAACAATCTTCTCTGGGAGTGGCTACTATTTTCCTTACTTAATAACTGATATAAGACTTTGAAAAACCAAGTAATTTGAAAATATAAATTAGCTAACATGGCATACTACCAATATTGAAATTCAGACAATGTTATTTTGAGTCCCATATTCTGAACATTTTTGCAATATCAACAAAGAAAATAGTAGTTTTGTAAAGCTGATGAGACTACCAGGAGACTTTTTTGGAGGGACAATGTTTGTGCAAGAGAAGGTGCATGATATACTAGTCAGGTGCATAATACACTGACTCAGATTGCTCATGACCCCATAAGTATCCTTCATGCCTATTACCTTTTCCATGAGAAGCAGCTATAGATGTTTTGTAGTGTAAATTATTTATAATTCATGTTACAGTTGAAACTGTGCTCCACTCAACTGATAGAGTATAAATGAATTACAGTGGCAGATATGAGAATTGTGCATAAAATGGTCATTGAATAGTGGTAGAATTTCTGGATTCTTACTTAGGGATCTATTAAGAAGAAGGTGCAAAGAGGGAACAAAATCACAAAGAAGAGTAGAATAGTGGTATGAATAAAGATAAGAGATAGAACCTAAGTCACAAACATGATTAGATAGAATTACATGCTCTCTCTCATAAAACAGTATGTTAACAATACTGCTAAACTGGCAGTGACTTCAAAGAATGTTGAACGTTCTATATGAGTTGATGTCAATCCCAGACATTGCTTTACCATGAAGTCTGACTTTCGTGGCTGCTAAGTATTTCACATGTGCCTACATTATTTCTTCAGTTGTCTCACACACACAAAAAAAAAAATCTTGACTATGCACAGTAATCCACACAGGGAATTTTCATTTATTTGATAACTTAGAAGATATTTCTGGAAATGCTGAAGTGTAATAGTACATACAAAAAATCCAGCTGTTATCATTTCTTTAGTACTATGCAAGTAACTGTATGTATGCTTCAGAATTTCCATTAAAATCATGTTTTATTCTATTATTACTATTTTTCAGAGCGTGAGTCCCACTCTGTCACTCAGGATGTTGTGCAGTGGCATCATCCTGACACACTGCACCCTCAGCATCCCTGACTCAAGCAGTCCTCCTGCCTCAGCCTCCCAATTAGCTGGGACTACAGGTACTGATATGGTTTGGATCTGTGTCCTTGCTAAATATCTTATCAAATTGTCATTCTCAGTGTTGTAGTTGGGGCCTGGTGGCAGGTGACTGGATCACGGGAGTGGATCCTTCATAAATGATTTAGCTTCATCTCCTCGGTGCTATTCTCATTATAATTATAAGTCAATTATTGTGAGATCTGGCTGCTTAAAGGTATGTAGCACCTCCTCCCTCTCTTGTTCCTATTCTGGCCATGTCAGATGACTGCTTTACCTCTACCTTCCATCATAATTGTAAGTTTCCCAAGGCCACCCTAGAAGCAGAAGCTGATATGCTTCCTCTACAGCCTGCAGAAATGTAAGCCAGTTAAACCTCATTTCTTTATAAATTACCCAGTCTCAGGTATTTCTTCATAGTAGTGCAAGAACAAACTAATACAAAAAAACTGGTACCCAGGGGTGGGGCAGTGCTTATTATAAAGATACATTAATATGTCAAAGTGGCTTTGGAATTAGGTAACAGGCACAGGTTGAAACAGTTTAGAAGGCTAATGAGAAGACAGGAAGGTAAGTGAATGCCTGGAACTTTCTAGAAACTTGTTAAATGGTTATGACCGAAATGCTGATAGTGATATGGACAATGAAGTCCAGGATGAGGAGGTCTCAGATGAAAATGAGAAACTTGTTGGGAGCTGGAGTAAAGATCACTTTTGCTATGCTTTAGCAAAGAACTTGGAAGCATTGTGCCTCTGCCGTAGAGATCTTTGGAACTTTGAACTTGAGAGTGATTATTTAGGGTATTTGGAGGAAGAATTTCTAAGTAGCAAAACATTCAAGATTTTCTAACAGCATGTGGTTATACATGAGCAAATAAAAGATGTAAAAGTGGAAATTATATTTAAAGGACAAAGAGATCATTAGGATTTGGAAAATTTGCAGCCTGACCATGGGGTAGAAAAGAAAAACCACATTTTCTGAGCAGGGATTGAAGCATGCTGCAGAAATTTACATAAGTAAAAAGGAGACAAAAACAATGGGGAAAAAGCCTTGAAGGCATTTCAGAGACCTTTGCGGCAGCTCTTCTCATCACAGGCAGGTAGACCTAAAGGAAAAACTGGTTTGGTGGGCCAGGCCCAGAGATCCACTGCCATGAATAACCTTAGGGGCCCCTGTTCCCTGGATGATGGCCACTCCAGCTCTAGACCTGGCACAAAGGAGCTCAGGTACAGCTCAGGCTGCTGTTTCAGAGGGTCCAAGCCATAAGCCTTGGTGTCTTCTACGTGATATTAAGCCTGTGGATACATGGAGTGCAAGAATCGAGACTTAGGAGCCTCTACCCAGATTACACAGAATGTCTGGAAAAGCCTGAATGTCCAGACAGAAGAGAAGCCTGCTGCAGGGGTAAAGCCCTAATGAAGAACATTTACTAGGGCAGTGCAGAGGGGAAATTTGTTGAAGTTTGCACACAAGAGTCCTCATTGGGCACTGCATAGTGGAGCTGTGAGAAGAGGGCCACCATCATCCAGGCCACAAAACGGTACAGACACCAAAAGCTTGTGCCATGTACCACAATGCCAGTTCATGAGAACTACTACAGGGGCTGATCCCTGCAAAGCTACAGGAGCAGAGCTGTCAAAGACCTTGGGAGCTCAACCCTTGTACCAGTATGCCCTAAATGTGAAAATATGGAGTAAAAAAAAATTATTTTGGAGCGTTAAGATTTATTGACTGTCCTATTGTGTTTCAGACTCATGGGGAGCCTATAGTCCCTTCCTTTTGGCTGATTTTTCTCTTTTGGAAAGGAAGCATTTACCCACTGCCTATGCCCCCATTGTATCTTGGAAGTAACTGGTTTGTTTTTGATTTTACAGTCTTATAGGTGGAAGGGACTAGCCTTGTATCAGATTAGACTTTGGTCTTTGGAATTAATGCTGAAATGAGTTAAGAGTTTGGGGGACTGTTGTGAAGTCATGATTTTATTTTGAAATGTGAGAAGGACATAACATTTGGGAGAGTCCAAGGACATAATAATAAGGTTTGGGTCTGTGTACTATCTAAATATCATGTCAAATTGTAATCCCCACTGTTGGAGGTGGGCCTGGTGGGAGGTGACTGAATCATGAAGTTGGATCCTTTATGAATAGTTTAGTAGCATTCTCTCAATTCTGTTCTCATGATAGTGAGTTATCATGACATCTGGTGTTTAAAAGTGTTGTAACACCTCCTCTTTCTCTCTCTTGCTCCTGCTCCAGCCATGTAAGGCATTCCTGCTTCTTCTTCACCATTTACCATGGTTGTAAGTTTCCTGAATCCTTCCCAGAAGTGAAATCTGCTATGCTTCCATACAGCCTACAAAACCATGAGCCCGTTAAACTTCTTTTCTTTATAAATTACCCAATTTCAGGTATTCCTTTATAGCAGTGTAAGAACAGACTAATACAGTGCACACCACCATGCCTAGCTATTTTTTTTAATTATATTTTGTTGTTGAGAACAGTTCTAGCTATGTTGCCCAGATTGGTCTCAAACTCCTGGCTATAGCAATTTGCCCTGGCCTCCCAAAGTCCTGAAATTAGAGGCATGTGTCATGCTTCCCAGTGAAGTTTCATTAAAATTTTAATATACCCTCTTGGATATTCATCACCTTTTCTGTACATTGCTTTGGTATCTGTAAAATGAAGCACATAACTTAAATTATCTCTGACTTTGTTGTAAGTTCTAGCATTCCATTAGTCCACCTCTTCTTCCTCCTGTAATTAAATCTGTTTTTTCTTCAATCTCTAGAACCTAACATTGATGAAAACTATAAGCACATAGCCTAGTCTGAAAACGTTCAAATATTGGATCTCAAAAGCTAGGCATATATATTTATTGGGCTGCAAAGCTAGATGAAGAATATATCTCTGAGAGGCCTCGAAGTGACCATGTTCTCCCCAACTCATTTGTATTTGTTGAGAATATCTGTAGATTGTGATAAGAATGCAACATCTAGAGATGAGGTTGAATTGGCTGGAACAACCTAAGTTTTGTTTCTGTTCCCTCCAAGTGAAGAGTATCTATGACATTCTAGCTCAATGAGTTCAGTAATTCTGGGGTATGCAATCCCTGTGGGCTGCTTTTCAGGGTCCTTCAGCAGTGTATTTTATTTTAAAGCATGACATGTTTTTTTATAATTAACTGTTGAAATATTCCTCTGATAATACTGACAATAGCAAAGATATTTAATTATATTTCTTACAAATGTATAATGTGAAGTATAGTTATAGTAACAATAACAAAATTCATTTAAAAAAATTTAAGTTTCAGTAGCAATTAGCATGTATTTTATATTTGAATAGAATTTTTTAAAGAAAACATTTAAGACTCTCTAGTACCAGGGACTTAAATGTTTTCTACCAGAGATACAGCATAGTATGCCATGATATACACAGTACCATGGTGAAAATAATGCCGCGTTTTCCAGTAGCAAATGTTCCTGTAATATGGAGGTGTTTTGAATGATATATAGTTGGAATCACATTTCATATAAAAGGAATCCCAGAACATCATCGGGAAGAATGTATGATTTAAAATAAATTCATTTTAATGTAAAAACTATGAGTTGGAAAAATACCCTTCACACTTTGGGTAAGACCACAGTCATATCACCACTTTGCTCCATTTAGAGAAGAGCTATGTTATCTGGAAAATTGTGGAAGAAAAGTTTAAAAATAATTAATGGGAAGAGTTTTGTGTATAGTGAATTATTAAAACTCAGAGCATATGAAGGATTTACAGATTACCAAGGATGTTGTAGCCCCGCCAGCACTAGTATTCAACAATCTTTGTGTTCTCTTCTGTGCTTTGCCACTTTACTTTCTACTTTGTTTGTACTTTATCATTTGACTTTATTTTCCACTTTACCATTTGTCTTCCTATTAATGTATGTCTTCAGGCAACTATTCCTGGTTGTTCATTCCTTAATCTAGTGACTACCATCTATAAGATCTGGAGAAGGCTGTTGTCATTGCTATCACTGTTCTTGCCATCATAATCAAGCTATTCTTCACAACTTGACAACTGGACAATGGAATATAAGGTCTAGCACCTTGAAATATTGACGCATGTGGAGGCCTGTCCATTTGCCTTCATTGCTATAGTAAGAATGGTCAGCCCTCATTGTTCTGTCCAAGTGCATCTCATTAGCTTACCCTATATTGCTGGAAGAATATCCACAAGTATGTAAAAGAAATGTCTTTGTTATCATTCAAACCCTGCATATAGGTGGCAACAGAGGAAAGAAAGAAACTGCTGTAATATGGATATTATCTTGAAAGTTCATACTAGGAAACAAAGTAAAAATAACATAAAAATAGTCTAATCTAGTCCTAAGAGTCACAATAAAAATAAATATTGGAGAAAGTACAATTTTATACAAGACATAATCAAGAATATGCTAAAACCATCTTTGGGCAGTACTATAAGCAAAAAAATGTATATTTATAAAATATGAATGATAAGAGATTTAGCAATAAACTATGGAATAGTTATAGCATGGAATAACTATGGAATTATTTGGCAATAGATTACGGAACAAACTATAGAATATGGTAGGTAAAATGTTACAGGATATCAAGAGTTGGCTAATCATAAATGGCTATGAAACATCTAAGGCAGGGCTTTACTCTTGGTCACATAGTTTAAGAATAATCACTAATTTCTTTGTGATATGGTAATATTTATGTATAATCTAGAATATATATTGCCTTTTACAACAAAAGTTTATTTTTGTAACATAGGTAACAAATTAAACAATGAATGAAAATATTTTATATATGAAACAGGGAGCAAGAGGACACTACAGACTTTTCCTACCATAGTTGAGATGTTAGAAGTATGCATACTCAACAAAACAGCTATCATAATATTTTGCCAGTAAAATCATGAATAGATTGTCCTCTCTAGTGGTAGAGATAGGTGCTACAATCAATTACTCCTTATACATACGTTTTAGGCTCACAGCCTGGCTATTACATGCTTT